GAGCTCCTGAAGACTTTCTGCGAGAGCAAGAGGCTGACCACAGACAAGGTAGAGCTGCCCGGGTCACGAGGGCATTTGGGGAGGGGGCCGGGCCCAGTCCTGATCCTGATCCTGGAGTGGGGCCTTGGGTGGGTGGGGTCCGGCCTCATGCCCGACCCCTGCCCTCTTCTCTCTGTCCCCCTAGGCCAATATCAAAGACCTGTCCCACATCCTGAAAAAGATGCCGCAGTACCAGAAGGAGCTGAACAAGGTGGGCTCGGCTGGGAGCCTCGGTGCCCCTCCCCTCCCTGCTCAACCCCTGTTCCCTTCTGCTCTCTGCCTTGGCTCCCTGGCTCAGCCTGTTATCCCACCTTTCACCTGCCACAGTATTCTACACACCTGCATTTAGCGGACGACTGCATGAAGCGCTTCAAGGGCTCCGTGGAGAAGCTGTGTAGTGTGGAGCAGGTGGGCGGGGCCTCTGGGGAAGGGCGGGACTTGTGGAGAGGGGTGGGACCTTTGGAGAGGAGGGACCTGAGTAAGGAACAAGGCCTGTAGGGAGGTGATGGCAGGGCAGGGGTGTGGCCTGTGCCTGGGCGGGCGGGGCTTTGGAGAGGCGCGACCCAGGTGAAGCATGGGGCCCTAGACAAGCTATCCCTGGACATGGGTGGGACCTTGGGACACCTGGTACCAGGATGAGGCGGGGCCTGAATGTGTTCTTGCCAAGGGCCCTGGGCTGTCCCTGCCCCTCCTCCCCGCTCCCCTCCTCCTTGAGCAGCTGCCCACTGGACGGCTGACCCCCATGCCCGCAGGACCTGGCCATGGGCTCTGATGCAGAGGGCGAGAAGGTCAAGGACGCCATGAAACTGATTGTGCCGGTGCTGCTGGACACGGCGGTGCCAGCCTATGACAAGATCCGTGTCCTGTTGCTCTACATTCTCCTAAGGAATGGTGGGCAGGGGATGTGGGGTCTTAAGATGACCCCATTCCCCGAGGTCTACAACGATCCCAGGAGCCACCCAACCCACAGGTCCCCGCCTCCACTCACCGGGCTCACAGACCCTTGAGAAGCCCTGTCCAGACCCTGGGCCCTTCCTCCACTTGCCTGACATGGGGGTCCCCCTCTGACCTGGAGAATCCTTCAGACTTGGAGCTCCCCCAGCTCATCCTGGAGGACCCCCCAATCTGCCCCTTTTGGGATTCCCTACCCAGAATTCCCCTGATATCAGAACTCCCACTCACACTAACTGGGGGTCCCCTCCGTCCACCCACGACCTCTTCACCCCACCCCAAGCCCCCTTAAATCCGGAACCCCCTGGCCACCACCTGCACCTTCCCATGCCCTCCTCCAGGCGTGAGCGAGGAGAACCTGGCCAAACTGATCCAGCACGCCAACGTGCAGGCGCACAGCGGCCTCATCCGGAACCTGGAGCAGCTGGGTGGCACCATCACCAACCCCGAGGTATGCTGGGAGCCGCCGTGGGCTCAGAGCCTGGGCGAGGCGGGGACCGGGGAGAGGACCCGGGTTGGAGCCTGGGGTGCACAGGCATGGCACGGCTCCTGGGGGCCAGAGCCCTGTGTGTGGCCTGGTCTGAGGACCAGAGAGCACCAGGGCCTGGGTCACACAGTAGGCGGTAGGGGTGGGGTGAGGTCTGGGGTGGGGCGTGTGGTCCGAGTCCTGGGGTGGGTAGTGGGTCCCCCGTGTCGGGGGGTGAGCACACTGTCAACTTGGGGCTCCCAGGGGCCTCGAGATACCCACAGCAGCCACTTCCTATGTGCGCCAGCTCTTGGCTCAGCCTCTCCTGTCTCTCTCTGGCCCTGCACACCCGCCTCCTGGACCCTGTCTCCCCATGGCTCAGGGCTCCACAGGCGCCTGCCGGCACCATCTCTCCTGTCCGGCCCTGGCCCCCGCCCTGTCCTCGTCTCTCTGTCTCCCTTTCTCTCCATTTTCTCTCTCCCCCCATCCCCATCTTCCTCTGTGTCTTTTCCCTCTGTCTCTCGTCTCTCTCTTTTCCTTCATATCTCTGTCTCACGGCCTTGTATTTCTCTCTCTGTCTCTGTCTCTTTGTGTCTGCCTTTCTCTGTCCCTGTCTTTCTGCCTCTCTGTGCCTGTCTCTGTCTCTTTTTCTGTCTCCATCTCTGTCTGTTTCTTTGTCTCTCTCTGTCTCTCTCCCCCAAATCTCTGTCCCCTCTCCTTCCCATCTCCCTGTGCCTTCTTTTCCTCTGTCTCTGTCTCTCTCTATCTGTATCTCTCTCTCTGTCTCTGTTTCTCTGTGCGTCTCTCCCCTACATCCCTGTCCCCTCTTCGTCCCATCTCCCTCTGTGACTTCTTTCCCTGTCTCTGTCTCTCTGTCTCTGTCTCTCTCTCTCTCTTCTCTCTGTCTCTGTGTGTCTCTCCCCCACATCTCTGTCCCCTCTCCATCCCATCTCCCTCTGTGCCTTTTTTCTCTGTCTATCTCTGTCTCTCTCGGTCTCTGTCTGTCTCTCTCTCTCTCTGTCTCTCTACCACGTCTCTGCCCCTCTCCGTCCCATCTCCCTCTGTGCCTTTTTTCTCTGTCTATCTCTGTCTCCCTCGGTCTCT